ACGTTTTTTGATTCATTCGGCAGTTCAGTGTTGGAAGACGAGGATCAACGTGGAGTTGCGCATATTGTGGAGCATCTTGCGTTTAGTGCTACAACGAGATACACGAATCACGATATTGTCAAGTTCTTAGAGAGTATTGGAGCTGAGTTTGGGCCCTGTCAAAATGCAATGACTACAGCGGATGAGACTATATATGAATTGTTTGTTCCTGTTGATAAGCCTGAGTTGTTATCTCAGGCTATTTCCATTTTAGCAGAGTTCAGCTCCGAGGTAGTGATGTTTCCGTGACTCTGTTTCATCCCTTTGTTTTCATTTTTAAGTTCGTGAGAAATCTGTAAATGGTTTGTTTTAGATTCGAGTGTCCAAGGAAGATTTGGAAAAAGAAAGAGGTGCTGTTATGGAAGAGTACCGAGGGAATCGAAATGCTACGGGTAGGATGCAAGATTCGCATTGGCAGCTCATGATGGAAGGTTCTAAGGTACTTTGAGGCTTTTTTCTTATTTTTTTTTGTAATTTAAGAGAGACTCCATCCAATGTGTTCTTATGATGCTTTTATGTGACTCCAGTATGCTGAACGTTTACCTATTGGTTTGGAGAAAGTGATTCGGTCTGTTCCTGCTGCAACTGTGAAGCAATTTTACCAGAAGTGGTATCATTTGTGTAATATGGCAGTTGTGGCTGTTGGTGATTTTCCAGATACAAAGGTACATTTACTATTTTATTTTAGTGATTAGCTACTCAAAGCATTTATGAGTTTGGTTAACGGTCATGCTTTGTTTGTAATCCTTCCTGATTTCTTTCTAGACTGTAGTTGATTTGATTAAGACACACTTCGAGGATAAAAGATCAATTAGTAATCCTCCAGAGATACCAGTCTTTCCTGTTCCTTCTCATGAAGAGACACGCTTCTCTTGCTTTGTTGAGTCTGAGGCAGCTGGGGTTAGTCAATTTTAACTATCCAAACTTCTTTAGATGTTATCCTGATGTTAACTTCCAAACTCCTAAGCTTCCTTCATGGTCTTGGCTTGTAGTCTGCAGTCATGATTAGCTATAAGATGCCCGTTAGTGATCTAAAGACGGTGAAAGATTATAGGGATATGCTTGCAGAATCAATGTTTCTACATGCTCTTAACCAGAGACTCTTCAAAATATCTCGTAGAAAGGATCCTCCATTTTTTGCGTGCTCTGTTGCTGCTGATGTCCTGGTGAGCCCATTGAAGGCCTACATAATGAGTTCTTCTTGTAAAGAGAAAGGAACTCTGGCATCCCTAGAGTCTATGCTTCTCGAGGTCTCTTTTGCTTTCACTCTCTCAAGTTTTTACCATTGTCTCCTCCCTTCCCATTCATTGGTTCTCTTGTGTTTTAGGTTGCTAGGGTACGCCTTCACGGGTTCTCAGAGCGTGAAATATCTGTTGTTCGAGCTCTCATGATGTCGGAGATTGAATCTGCTTATCTGGAACGTGATCAAATCCAATCAACTAGCTTGCGGGATGAATATATACAGGTAAGTTCTGTGAACTTTCTTTTCCAGCTTTCTGTCTTTCCCCTCTAAAATTCTTGTTTATATTTGTGTTCTATCTTGCAGCATTTCCTTCACAAGGAACCTGTTATTGGGATTGAATACGAGGCGCAACTTCAGAAGAGTCTTCTACCCCGTGAGAACATGCATACTCTGTGTATAGTTTAGTCTATTTCCGTTTTTGTTATTAAACTCATTACTCATCTAAATTATATTGGTTCCTCTCGTGCAGAAATATCAGCTTCAGATGTATCCAGATACTCAGATAAGTTAAGAACATCATGCGGTTGCGTGATCAAGACAATGGAACCTAGATCTTCTGCGACAATTGATGACATGAGAAACGTTGTCTTAAAGGTTAATAGTCTTGAGGAAGAAATGAAGATTGCTCCGTGGGATGAGGAAAAAATTCCAGAAGAAGTTGTCAGTGAGAAGCCAACTCCAGGGTAAGCTCTGAACTAACTATAGGTCACCCGCTCTCAATAATTTTCTCAATCCTGGATGTTTGGCTTAAGTTTTCAGACTTATCCTATCTCGTAGTCTTTTACTAATCTAAACGGCTCCGTTGACGTGCCTATTATGTAAATTCCATTTCCTATTTCTCATCCATGACTACTGTCCAATGAAGGGATGTTACTCACCAGCTTGAATATCCAGAAGTTGGGGTTACAGAACTGACATTATCAAATGGAATGCAAGTTTGCTACAAGTCCACAGACTTCTTGGACGATCAGGTGCCATATTAACTGAGCGCTACAAGATTTTAAAATTCGACATGTGTGTGTGTTACCAATGTATCAAGCTTAAAGTGTATTTCTATACTGTGTTCGGTAACTTTATGATTGTCCTTTGTTTGTTTTCCGTACAGGTTCTTTTTACAGGGTTCGCATATGGAGGACTTTCTGAACTCCCTGAGAGTGATTACATTTCATGTTCGATGGGATCAACGATTGCTGGTGAAATTGGTATGTTTGGTTATAAGCCATCAATGCTTATGGACATGCTTGCTGGTAAAAGAGTTGAAGTTAGCGCAAGACTGGGGCCATACATGAGAACGTTTTCTTGTGATTGTTCACCCACAGACCTTGAAACTGCTTTGCAGGTTCGCCTTTTTCCTTTTCAACAATCTTTTTGAAGTATAGCTATGCTAATAGCTGAATGTTGGAAATTTAACTTAGTGAGGAACGTATCCCTTCACAGTTGTGCCTTCTCTCTTTTTCTCATCTAGTAATTTTGTACTCAACTTATCAATACTTCTTTGCAGCTTGTATATCAACTTTTTACTACAAACGTGATGCCACAAGAAGAAGAGGTTGGAATAGTGATGCAAATGGCAGAAGAAGCAGTCCGTGCTCGAGAGAGAGACCCTTACACTGTCTTCGCCAACAGGGTGAAGGAACTCAATTATGGAAATTCTTATTTCTTTAGGGTAATATCTTCAGTGAGCTAAATGACTAATTATTTATCATTGAACGCCAAGCCACATTTCTAACTTAGTCTCTAATGTGCAGCCTATTCGGATAAATGAACTACGAAAAGTTGACCCGGTGAAGGCCTGCGAATACTTTAACAGTTGCTTTAGGGATCCATCAACTTTCACTGTTGTGATTGTAGGAAACCTTGATCCTAGTATCGCCCTTCCTCTAATTCTTCAGTATTTGGTAAGTTGGATCACATCACTGGTGATACACAAAAAGTTATCTCGGACTTGACTTCATTTTTTGTATTCGTTCCATGCAGGGTGGAATACCTAAGCCTCCTCAACCGATTCTCAACTTCAACCGTGATGACCTCAAGGGCTTACCATTCACTTTCCCTACTAAGATAACAAGGTAAGCTGTATAAAATAAGATGCTTTTCCAGACTCTTGATTTAAAGTTTGGCGATTGGTTGCACTTAAATCATAGTACAAATGTACAAGTTAAACTCTGGATGCAACAAGATCAGTTAGATTTCTGATAAAATTGTTCCACCATTGACTAAACAGAGACGATGATTCTGTGTATTTCCCTTAATAATTCCATGTTGACTTTAAATGTGTGGATGCTACAGAGAATTTGTACGAAGTCCAATGGTCGAGGCCCAGTGTTCAGTCCAGTTGTGCTTTCCTGTACAGTTAACAAATGGAACAATGGTAGGTGACTCTGCTTTGTCATCTGAATCATAACCCACGTTCATTACGGTGATGATATATTATTCGTTACTTTACTAAAAAATGTGTCTAAACAATTTGCTTCATACCTCTGTTTTGATTAATAGATCGAAGAAATCCACTGTATCGGCTTTTTAGGAAAACTCCTAGAGACCAAGATAATCCAGTTTCTTAGATTCACGCATGGGCAGGTATATTCAGCGTCAATTTTCTAAGGATGATGATCACACCAACCTTTAGTGACCTATTTTCCTATGTAAGCAGATATATTCCGCTGAGGTCTCAGTGTTTCTTGGCGGGAATAAGCCTTCTAGAACTGCGGATTTGCGTGGTGACATTAGTGTAAATTTTTCATGTGATCCAGAAATCTCCTCTAAACTGGTACGTTCATTATTCTCACATGATCCCGTAACGCTTTCTCTGTATCTTTCCGCTGCTTTTTTGCTCACCGAAGTCACCTTCTTGTCTTTCAGGTTGATCTAGCTTTGGAAGAAATTGTACGTCTTCAAGAGGAAGGCCCTTCGCAGGAAGACATTTCAGCCATCCTTGAAATAGAACAAAGAGCTCATGAAAATGGCTTGCAGGTTCTTTTTGTGCCTATTATCCACAGTTACAAGTCCATCACAGCCCAAAAAACATGTTTTACTGACTTCTTTCTTGTTTTGTACAGGAAAACTATTACTGGTTAGACAGGATTCTACGTGGATACCAGTCAAGGGTTTACGCTGGCGATTTGGGCGCTTCATGCCAGGTCAGTTGCAAAAAACCTTTTTAACTAGTCAGGTTTGGATTTTACTAGAGAAACACAGTTTTTGTGAAAAGAAAGAAAATGCTCTGTGGTCTATTATTAGATTCTAGAAGAAGGGCGTCTACGAATGAGAGAGTCACTTGCACCACAAACAGCACAAGCGGCATTACAGCGAATCCTTCCTCACCCTTGCAAGAAACAGTACACTGCTGTCATTCTCATGCCTCAGAGATCACGTTTTGGATTCCTTACCTCTATATTTGCTTCTCGCCCTGATACCTCCTACATTCGTGACACCAAGGTCAGTCTTTGTTTTATTTCCTTGTGTTGTCTACGTAAAAATATACCAACAAATCAAATCATTGATATATGAGTTTGTGTCTCTTTCGTTTCCCAGATTTTGGCGGGCATTGCTGGTCTAGCTGTTCTTGTTTTTAGCATCTGGAGATACTCTCGCAAGTAAAAGTTTAATTTCTCTTTCTTTTTTTAGTGAACCTCAGCGTTTATTATGCAAATTCTCATATATCTTACACGAGATTTATTTACACAAACTTATTTATTGCTACATTTTTACATTTCGTTTATAAATTGAGACATGAATATGCTAAATCCTGCTCTTCAGCTAGCTCTCTTGCAGAGTCATCCATTTTCTCCCTCGAGAACTCATCAATGCTGAGTCCTTGTACGATCTTCCAACTCCCTTTCTCACAGTTAACCGGAAACGAGTAAACCAAACCGGGTGGTATACCGTAAGAGCCATCAGAACAAACACCCATAGATACCCAGTTTCCTTTAGGTGTTCCAAGAAACCAGTCATGAATATGGTCACAAGCTGCGCTAGCAGCAGACAGAGCACTCGACTGTTTCCGTGCCCTTAGAATCTCTGCACCACGTTGCTGAACTTCTGTAATAAACTCGTTCTTCAGCCATTTCTGGTCAGCGACAAGTAGTTCTTTCACGGGTTGATCTCCGGTCTTAGTAGAGACCATTGCGTGACTGGTGTCTGGATACTGAGTTGAAGAATGGTTTCCCCAGACGATCACGTTCTTCACGCTGCTCACGGGAACACTTAGCTTCTCCGCAAGGCGAGCTTGAGCTCGGTTATGATCGAGACGTGTCAGGCAAGTGATGTTTTCTTCCGGGATCGAAGGTGCAAACTCTTTCAAAATCAGAGCATTTGTGTTCGCTGGGTTAGCTACAACGAGAACCTTGCAATCATCTGATGCATATCGCTCTAACGCCAAAGCTTGAGCTTTAAATATCACTGCATTTTTTGACATCACGTCTCTTCTTTCCATGCCTTCTTTTCTTGCGAACCCGCCGATCATTATGGCGATGTTCACATCTTTACAAGATTCGTCAACATTTGTTGTCGTGATAACGCCTTGGAGAAGAGGGAAGGCTGAATCTTGAAGCTCCATCTTCACAGCTTCTAGTGATTTTGAAGCTGGTTCTATATCAAGTAAATGCAGAATCATGGGTTGGTCTGGACCTAGCATGATACCTCTTGCAATCATTGGAGCAATTGCATATCCTATGTTCCCTGTTAGATAATAATTCGCTATTATTAGTCCAAAATTCAATTTTATTCATAAGCAAACAAAAATAAACTTAGTACTTGGTTGAGTTTAGAGAAATTGCACCCTATAGACATAAGAAAAACATAAATTCACTAAATAGCTAAAATTCTACTCTCTCTCTACTCTCTCCTAAAAATCTAATTTTCTTTTTTTTTCTTGGCTATATGACAAATAAGCCCTTGAGTTTACCTGCTGCACCAGTGACCAAAACCCTTATAGGTTCTTTCTCAATCTTTAACAAATTGCACATGTATACAATCATTTTCCATGCCAACCCAACGCATATCAATAGAACCAAAGATTTTTGAATCACAAAAGTATAATCAACTTCTCCTCCGACGACCTCCATTTTTTAACAAGTAAAATGTAATGAAGCAACGAATGGGTGTTCATGTGTCTCCAAAGTTTAATTTATAATGCTCAAAAACCAAGAAAGAAGAAAGAATCTATGGAAAGCTTAGAAAGATGACATATGTAACCTGATACTCACAAAACTTCGCCATACAACAAAACCTAAGTCATACAACAAAGACAATGAATCTATGGAAAGAAACGTCGCGCAGTAAAGATCCTCGAACTTTTATTTCTTCATAATAACTTTCTTTGTTGTTCATAGTGAGAAGATTACTATTCAAAAGTGGATAATCCGATTTGTATGTTGGTTTTGGCTCGGTTTAGTAAATTATTTTTTGTGTACAATAAACTAACAATTTTGTTTCAAAAATAAATAAAATAAAATAAACTAACAATCGGTTATATTTTTTTTTTGTAACAACACAATCGGTTATATTTATCGGTTTGGTTTCAGCTTAATCATTTTGGTTTCCCTATATTTCCAACTATAGGGTATATTGGGCCGTTAATGGGCTCCAAGATCCCGATGGCGCAAAGGTTAATGGCACAAGAAGTCAGACCATTAAAACCCAAATAAACATCTAGGTTTAATTCAGTGTCACATATATAACCTAACTTATACTCCCTCGTCGCCTCTCTGTCTCTCGACGTTCTTCGAGCCAAAGGTACTGCCTTCTAGCACATTTGTGGATATGGAATTGAACAGATCTGTTTAATTTCCCATAAGAAAATTTAGTTTTCTAAGTGTTTATTGGTTATGGATAAGTGCAGGTAAGAGTTTGTAGAAGTACATCACAAGACCAAAGATGTCTGAGAAAAAAGGAAGGAAAGAGGAAGTGGTGACCAGAGAGTACACCATCAACCTCCACAGACGCCTTCACAGCTGGTTAGCTTTCTTAAAACCTTAAATGTTCTTATGTGTCTTGTTCATGTTTTAGCTGCTTTACTGTTCAGTTTCATAGGTTTTGTAATGAAATGTAGTCTCTTTCTACCAGATAATAGTAGCAAGCTTCTTAGTGTCTGAAGATTATCTTTTGTAAATGTAATCATACATTATAACTTTAAAAATGAGATTTTTTATAATAACATTTCATTTCATGGTTTAATTTCTAGTACTGGTGTTCTCTGATGTGCTTAGGTTTTGGTATTATGAGATTTAAGGTATCATTCTAAGTCTAATAAAAATAATTGACTATTGTAACAGTACCTTTAAGAAGAAGGCACCAAAGGCTATCAAGGAGATAAGGAAGTTTGCAGAGAAAGCCATGGGGACAAAGGACGTAAGGGTAGACGTGAAGTTGAACAAGCAAATATGGAGCAGAGGTATCAGAGGTCCTCCCAGAAGGATTAGGGTGCGTGTTGCCCGCAAAAGAAACGACGATGAGGACGCAAAGGAAGAGTTTTTCTCACTTGTTACCGTTGCTGAGATCCCTGCTGAAGGACTCAGTGGACTCGGCACTAAGGTCATCGACGAAGAGGATTGAGAAGGGACTAGTCTGTGACTAAGACAAGTTTTGGTGTTCTCTTATTAGTTTCTTGTTGTTTTCGTTCAGAGTTTTCGTCTTTCTTTGTAGTGTGACTTCCAGTTTTCTTCTCCAAAGACCAAAAAGATGAATCAGATTTGTGTTCTTATCTTCTGGATTCTGCTTGAAGCTTGCTTTTCTAGGTTATTGTTCTTATTGATAAGTTATACAACCGAGGGAATCTAAAGTGATTGCAAAAAATCTGAATGAAACATACAGGAGTAAAAATCATTGGAATCAAACAAATGGTATCATAGCAAACTCTTTTAGCTAGGAGGGGATTTAATTGGCATTAAAGTTTTGTCAGACTATATTGAAGATGTAATTGTAAAGACCAACTTCGTCCGCGAAATGCATGATGAGGAAGAACCAGTTCGTCTTACACGATTCTATCAATCGATCAGACGAGCATGGATATTCACCAACTGAAGCAGCGTGGAAAGATAAACAAGCTTTCATAAAATTACCCTGAGGACAAGGTTCATGTTGAATGGATACGAACCAAATGGTCAAATCAAGAGCTAATAAAAATGAAGAGAGAAACGTCGACAGCAGGATTCGAACCTGCGCGGGCAAAGCCCAATTGATTTCGAGTCAATCTCCTTAACCACTCGGACATATCGACTTCTTGCTATCTTAAGCTCCTTTGAACAATATAACATAGAGGGTTGTTTCAACTTTTAACTGAAGTTGGACGGGTGTGTACCTTACATGCTGCCAAGTGCCAACGATTGGCTAAAGGCTAATTTACAATACCACCAACCGTCCGGTTTTGTGGTCTAACAGCGGTATTCGAATTACCAGATTTGTAGTGCAATCAACAGTTACTAAGTTTCATATGTAGATCTATCAAATAAAATCTCAATCATTACAAGGCAAAAACCTTTTTAAAAGTATAGCTAAAACCGAAACCGGTTTGTAAAAATTGGACCCAGCAACATAAAACCCATAAAAGTATGTTTGCCATTTTGGTGCAAAGATCAGCTCAAAGATCAGCTCTTCCAGGATAACGAGGGAAGGGAATAACGTCTCTGATGTTGTCCATCCCTGTCGCAAACAGAACCATACGCTCGAACCCAAGTCCAAATCCTGAATGCTTCGCTGTTCCGTAACGCCTCAAGTCCAAGTACCACTCGTATGGCTCCACTGGTAGACCAATCTCCTCAAGTCTGTTAACCAAAAAAACATGAGAGAAATGAAAAGAACAAAAAAGCAAGCCAACTGGTTTCACTTTCACGAACCTTGACATGATGACGTCAATACGTTCCTCCCTTTGGCTTCCACCAATGAGTTCTCCCACCTAAAAAAGACAGCAAAAGAAGTCATTCATGTTGTATTCTTCCATGACTCGCACACTAAAAGGAGAACTTTAACTCTGTATTAAGCCAAGAGATGATGAGCTTTATTACCTTTGGGACGAGGACATCCATGGCAGCAACTGTCTTTCCATCATCGTTCAATCTCATGTAGAAAGCTTTGATTCCTTTAGGGTAGTTGTAGACAATAAGAGGCTTCTGAAACACAACCTCTGTCAAGTATCTGCAAAAATGCAAAAGATAGGGGACACAACTTTAGAAACCCTTTTCTTGCAAGTTTTTTTAAGAAAAGCTTTTAAGGGTTACAGAAAAAACAAAACCTTTCGTGCTCAGATGCTAAGTCTATACCCCATTCCACATCGTTTTCAAATTTCTTTCCTTTAGCCACAGCTTCCTCAAGTATCTTTATCGCTTCCGTGTATGTTAGACGACCAAACGGAGTCGACGCAACAAGCTTTAGCCTGTCAATGCATCCTTTGTCGAAGTTCTTAGCCATCAGTTCCATATCATCATAACGCTTTTCAAGCAGCCACTTGCACATGTATTTCACATATGCCTCTGCACAGTTCATATCGTCCTACACAACATAAGCCAAGTTTTAAAACACTGCAGCTATATTGCAACAAAGAAGAGGAATGTAATGTTTATTACCTCAAGATCAGCGAAAGCTAATTCGGGCTCAACCATCCAGAACTCAGCAAGATGCCTTGAAGTGTGAGAGTTCTCTGCTCTAAAAGTAGGGCCAAAGGTGTACACATCGCTAAGACCACAGGCATAAGTCTCCACTTGCAACTGACCAGAAACTGTCAAGAAAGCTTGACGACCAAAGAAATCTTGCGAGTAATCAATCTTCCCATCGACTTTAGGCAAACCAGGCTGGAGCCTTGACCTCTCTTCAGTCCTAGCTAAAAACACCTTAGCATCATTGAGTTCAGCGACCGAAGCCATGATCGCTTCCTTGCTTGCTTTTGCAGCTTTGAGCTCCGCCACAGCTTCACCTCTCTCCTTGACAACGACCCTCGCAGCTTCAACGTCAGCTTCGGTAGGCGGTGGGTGCTCAATAAGCTCTCTCTCAAGCTTCTCGGTTGTACTGATCAATGTCGTCACTTGGAACATCTCACCAGCACCTTCGCAGTCACTAGTGGTAATGATTGGAGTTTGAACGTATAAGAAACCTTCTTCATCAAAGAACGTGTGGGTAGCAATAGCAAGCGCGTGTCTGATTCTTGCAATAGCTGAGATCTGAAACAAAAATAGGAAACTACACTCAAACCCTAATTGAAATCAAGTAACTTTGTAATCATTTTTTCGAATTGGGGTTTAAAGAATCTGTAAGCATTGTCACAGAGGCTAGGTAAGCTAGACAAATCTCAAACTCTAAGTAAAACCCAAAGATCAAAAAAAAAAAGTGATTTTTTTACTGCACACAACCCTAAATTAAAGTCAGTAACTATCTGATCAAGTAAAACTTTTTCGATTAGGGCTTTTAGAATCTATAATCATTGCCACTGAGACTAAGAAATCTAAACGAATCTTAAACACTAAATCAAACCCAACGATCAAAACAAGAGCTTCTTTACTTTACTCAAACCTAATTATAAAGACAGTAACTTTCTGATCAAGAAACAGTTTTTTCGATTAGGGCTTTAAAGAATCTTTAATCACTATCACTGAAACTACCAAAGAAGTGATCTTTTAATCCACTCACCGAGTTGGTCCTTGCACGAAGATGAAGAAACTCCCTCAACCTCTCAAGCGTAAGCTTCGTCTTAGGAATCGGGTACTTCCCCGGATCCACAACCCCCACATCAACCACCTCCACAACGCTAAGCTCAATCCTCTGCTTCGTACCTTTACCTTCCGGAGGAATCTTCAAACACCCATCAACAGTCACACACGTCCCCGTCGCTATCAGCTTCGACAGATCCGAAACCGATGCGTCCACCATCACCTGCAGATTCGCTGGGCATGACCCATCGTTCACCTCGAGGAAAGCGAACGCTCCTTTCCCTTGCTCCCTCCCCGTTTTCACCCACCCGCTGATTCGGACTTTCTGACCCGCGAGCCCGGCTCCGCCGTCGGGTCGACCCAGAATCGATTGGATTCGGACTCGATCGGAGAATCGCGCTTTCAGTACTGTTGAAGATGAGGCTTCGTCGTTGGTTAGGGAGACGGCGGCTAACTGATCTACCGGTGGAGGAATGTCACCACCCATTGTTTTGTTCGTGTGTGGTAGTGATGGAATTTTTTGCGGCGTTGTTAAAACCCTAAATGGTATATTATGGTAGAGTTTGATACAGAAACGGTATGTTGTTAATGGGCCTTAAGACCATAGGCCCATTTATGAAGAAGTGTTTTAAATTTAAGGCCCAACAAATTTCGTAGTCAGGGTTTGAATATATATCGTCAGTTTGAAGCCCTAACTCTGAGATTAGACACTCGTTTCAGCTTTGTTGCAGCCGTCGGAAGAAGGAGAGAAGCAAATCAGCCATGGGTAATCATCATAGCTTATACAGCATTATTGAAAATTAATTTGTTTGATTTGGGGAGATTTTATTTAAAATGGATCTGTTAACGGTGAGTGTTTGTTGATCTCAGGGAAAGTACACGGATCTTTGGCACGTGCGGGGAAGGTGAGAGGACAGACGCCGAAGGTAGCGAAGCAAGACAAGAAGAAGAAACCTAGAGGACGTGCTCACAAGCGTCTTCAACACAATCGCCGTTTCGTTACCGCCGGTACTTTCCTTAGTTCCATTTCTCGTGAATATAGATAATTTGTTATTTTTATATATTTCTCTTAAGTAGTTAACATTTGTTAGTTTAGCTATGAGCCGATGAATTAAGATTAGTGTTAGGAATAATCTACAGACACATTTGGATAAAGCTGAATGTTTATTCTTTTATGTTGGATTGTTTATAGATGCGATCTCTTTGGTTAGCAGATCATTCTGGTTATGTTACTCAAGTGCTTAGTTACAAAACTTGACTTTATAACATACACATAGATTTATATGTTTGTTGAATGATATTTTGCAGTAGTTGGTTTCGGTAAGAAGAGAGGACCCAACTCGTCTGAGAAGTAGAAGCCATTTCTGTGACCACCGTTCTGTTACAAGATAGAGATGCTGGAAAGATACTTGACCTTTCTGTGAAAGGTTCTCGCATATGGCTATTTTGTAACCTTTCTTTTGTTTTAGTTAATGTTTTCGTTGGCACTAAACTTATGTTTCTGTGAAATGAAATACAACTTTTTTTACCTCTGAATCTTAAACACAAGAGTTTGATTTACCTCTAGTTAATTGTACCAACCATTATCTTTTGAATTCATCGTTTAGTCAGCATTCAAAATCTAATGACCAGAATGACCAATGTATACAATTGTACTATCAAGAAACTATGTTTGGAAGTTCTCGTTAACCAGAATGACCAATGTATACAATTGTAATGACAAAACTGACTTTGAGTTGCTTCAAAGTTCATCATGAAAGTCTTTTGGTGTATCGGAGGATCCTTTAGAGGCCTTGTCTTTCAGGTACTGTACAGCCATCGATGCATGTATTGCTGCGCCGTAGGGGAGCGCATCCTCGTTGATTCTATAGAGCGACGAATGAGCCGAGGCATAACTTTTGGCCTCATCTTGCATTCCAAGGAAAGCGAAATGACCAGGGATTGCTTCTGCAAAGTATGAGAAGTCTTCTCCTCCCATAATAGGCGATGCCTCCACAAATGATTCTTCACCCAACAAATCTATGGCCACGTTCTTGAACTGCTTGTACAAGTCCACATCGTTCACAGTTGGTGGGAGTGGTTCTTTACCGTTTGGTGTTAGATTCACTGATGCATTGCACCGGTGAACTGCTGCTTGCTTGGTAATAACCTAGAATCAATAGATGAAACAGTGGGTTTTGGTTTTAGGGAAAGAAACAATGATAAACCCAAAATAGTGTCAATCTTGAATCACGTCACCTCTTTGACTCTTTGTTCAAGCTGAGAAAAACTGGTGAAGGCTCGGATAGTTCCTCCTATTGCGACTGAATCAGGGATAACATTAAACGCATTGCCTCCGTTAACCTTAGAAACTGTAACCACCTACACAAGCAATCTGAATGAGCTGCGTTACAAGAAAAAGCCTAGGCCAAGTAATTAACAGACAATAATAAGAAAGGCAACCTTGGAATCCAAAGGATCGGTTTCACGTGAAACCAAATGTTGAAGACTGAGTACAACACTTGAAGCTGCGATAATTGGATCTACTGTATGTTGTGGTATAGCAGCATGGCCTCCTTTCCCTGTGATCACAGCTTCAAAGAATCCAGAACCAGCCAGCATGGAACCTGGACGTGAAGAGACTTTGCCAAAAGGAACCCGGTTGGTAAAATGAATCCCGAAAATGGCTTCGACATGCTTCAAAGCTCCTTCTTCTATCATCTTCTTCGCTCCAGCCAAACCTTCTTCAGCTGGCTGGAAGATAAGCACCACAGTTCCCTAACAAAACCCAAAATATTGACTATGTCTTAGGTAAGTTATAAGTGCTGTTAACAGTATTGATTTATATCTGAACCCGAAGTATTATTAACCGAATCCGAACAGTATAAGAGACCGAAACTCGCTACCCTAAACTAAATGAACCTGCAAAACGTGGCGATGTTCATGAAGAAGCTTGGCAGCACCAAGAAGCATAGCTACATGACCGTCGTGTCCACAAGCGTGCATTTTACCAGCAACTTTGCTCTTATGCTCCCACTCAACAGCTTCCTAAATTTCAAAGAATCAATCAAATTTTATTTTTATAATCCTTCACTCACATGCAATGTTCTAAAAATCGCAAGGAGTTGGTTATGCGGATTATTGTTTATGCGGCGCTGCTTTTTTGAACAACTAAACTGATGTTTTAAAAAAAAAAAAAAATCGAATTTGAAAAATTCGTTTCGCTCATACCAATGTTTAAAACACTCCTCACATGCTATTATAAGATATATTCATACACTTTAAAGCATTCTCGAATGAAATGATAGTAACACCTGCATAGGTAACGCATCCATGTCAGCTCTCAGCGCGACGAACGGCGGTTCTCCGCTTCCGATATAGCCGATAACGCCGGTGACAGCGACGGGATACCTGTACTTCACTCCGATGAGGTCAAGCTCCGTCCTAATGAGTTTGCTGGTCTCGAATTCCTCGTAACCTAGCTCCGGATTCTCGTGGATTTTCCTTCTGATTCTCACCATCCGATCGAAAACGTCAGGACTCTTGGCGAGTTCGAGGAACTTCTTGGGGAATCGAGATGCATCTCCGGTGGTTTGTGAGGATTCCGATGAGACGAGATGGAGAAGGAGAAGTTGGGAAGTCAAAGTGAAGAGCAAAAGGTTGTTGAGAGTAGCAGCCATGTGAGGAACAGGTAGTTCTGATGGAAGTCAGGCGCCACTCAATCAATGTAGATGGAGACTAATGGGCCTGACAATTTAAAATTAGGCCATTAATAATAAACGTTTTATTTACTTAATTAGTGGATTAATTTAATAGTTTTTGGTTGTTGTTGGATCAATAACAACATAAGAGTTGTTGGATCAGTAAACGTTTTATTTACTTGATTAGTAGATTAATTTTATTTCTTTTTGTTCAAAGATTAGTAGATTAATTTAATGGGAAAATTGTTTTTTGGTTTATTATTGTACCTTCAGGCTAATTTCTTTTTTGTGTATCATTTTTTTCCCATAATGCCTTAATATTTTCGAAAATAAATTAAATAAATAATTTCACAAACAAAACAAAATCAGAAAAATAGTAACTAGTTATAAGATACCTATATCAATTTAGAGGCATTTTTCAAGTTCTAAAAATGTATATATCTTTTTATTCAAAATATGTTCTACATGAAATTGAATTGACATTCTACAAAGAAGAAAATGAAATCCATTTTTTTCACTGAATCTACTATATTTAAAATACGTGATTTAGATAAATAGAAATATTCTAAAAATATTTAGAATATATATTCCACGCTTAAACTGTCTTTCTAAAATCAGTAGAAAACAAAATCTACTCATTATTATAAAATCTTAAATAAGTAGAAATCTGAATCTACACATTATTATAAATCCAAAACATGTAGAACTTGATTTCAAACATTATTATTATATTCTACATATAATAGAATACACATTCTACGGATAATAATATTCTATTCCAAAATATAGGAATAAAAGATTTGGAAATATTTAATTTCCATAAATAAAAATTGATTTTTCATTAATTTTTTTTTAAATGTGCTTTGGGAACTCACACCATCTTCTACATCTTTCACAAAAATTCACATTGGTTACCATGATTTATATTTATGCTTCATGTGGTTTTTGGGAATTGGTTGTAGCTTCAGGTTGGAGTTTTTAGGTTGATGAAAAGAAAGGCGGAAGGTTACTTGCTTTGGAATTGAAGTGCTCTTTGGAAAAATTGCAAAAAACTATTATAGAGGATTTTGGTTTTGAAGAAAAAGAGGTCGATTTGGAGTTGGGTTATGTACCTATTAGGTTGATAAATTCATCAGAATGTCCGTTGGTGATCATTGGAAACTCACATCAGGATTTTGTAAGAACCATCAGTCAACTTGGTTGTGTGTTACCTATAAAAGCGAAGCAAGTGAATCCAAATAAGGCCGCCATTAATCTTAATATGATGCCAACTGATTCACGTACTCGTGAAGAGGAGGAACGAAATCCTTGTGACATAAACATAAATCTTAATCTTAATGGAGGCGCTTCAAGTAATATTAAATGGGCTAAACATAACGAGAAGAAGAAAGGAAAGATGAAGCAAGGCGAGACTGATGGAGATGATTATGATGCTGACAAGTATAAGGAGAAGAAAAGAAAGAAAGATGAAGCAAGACAATGTTGATGGAGATGATTATGTTGCTGACACCATCTTTTCTAAAAAAGAAAACATAAAAAATTTGGCAAATACTTCTATGATCGAGTTGGTTAAGAAAAAAAATATTTTCCTCAACAGAGCAGTGTTAAAGGCGAGATTTGAGTTATGTGCAATGAAACATAACTTTGATTACAAAGTGACATCATGATACTCTTGAAGTCCCAATGCAAAGGCATCCTCGCAAAGGTAAACCACTTCTCATGTTTCTTACTTGTCATCAACTCCTTACACAAGAAACAATGTACCAGCTTCACAAAGAACTTTAGACTATTCTTCTCAATAACCATAATATGTGAGAAAGGGGGAATCTTTCATCACTACCTCAAATTCTCGCTTCATTTTTTTCTTCAGCAACTCGAGAAGTCTTAATCGACAGCTGTTATTAATCTTCTTAACATGAGGTTCCAAGCCTCACTGTATAGATGACTAGGCAACTCAAACTCCATATTGAAAGTTTTAAACAACATATATCAATAACCAATATCACAGTTCAGTTAATGTCTCTTAAAACTCTATATTTTGAATTTAGAATTTTCTGTGTTTTTTTAAAACAAAACCTAAAATTCATAAATCTACCCTGAAATCACGATTTGAGGCATGGGATGGGTGCGAAATCATCCGTAAACAGCACTACACACGATTGAAGCCAAACCATCATAACAAACTCAAAAAAAATTCACTTTTTCATAGTTTATCGAACTCTAAAGTGGATATAGAGTTTTAAACCTTTGCAGATCAAACAGAAGAGTGGTAGATTCGGAAAAAGCTCGCAAAATTGTGTGGTTTAGGCTTAAGAATCGTCCAAATCAGAGCAAAACTGAGTGAGTTAGGGTTTATAAATGAGGAATTTCCATTGTCTCCCCTCTTTCGTGATGGCAAAAAAGAGAGTGATGAGTTTGGTCCCAAGAACACGAATTAGTAGGTTAAATTGTGTTTGGTCGATTCAAATCAAGTGTGAATTAAACCGGATATAAACGAAGAAAACCAGGAAATCGATTTGGAAGACAAGGGCACGGGATCGATCGATCTCATAGAGGGACCGATCGATCTCTAGAGGATTGATCTGTGGTGATCGACTGAATTGGACAAGGTTAATCAGTTTATGCTCCGTTTTTATGTTTCTGTTTAATCATTGTGATCGACCAGGTAGATCGATTGTCTATTTATGAAATCGATCGATCCCGCCAGATAGAGCAGTTTATTCTTCTCGTTTTTTTCTATTTGAAGTTTTTATGTTTATTTTTTTCGATTTTTTAATTGAATTTAAAGACATTATTACTATTTATAAAATATTTAACCTAAGTGACATAAACTAATAGAGATTAGTCTAAAAGGACAATGTTACCATTTTTGGCCTAAAAACATTTTTTCTAATTTAATAGTTGTTGTTGAAGCATCGTAGCTTAGTGTTAAGGTTTAAAGGTTTCTACACCATGTCTAGGGTTTGAATCCTAGACTACGCAGTTTCTACACCAAGAGGGTTTTAATTCCCAGAGAATGTGAATGACGAATTATGCAGATTGGAGAAAAAAACTTACAAGAGATCTTTAGCATGACGCAAAACCTACTGTCAGGAATGGATCTCATAGGACGGCACATGGTGATACAGTCAGACGTGCATTTGTATAAGGCATGTATAATTGTTAGATGTAATATCGTCTATATAATATTTCTCATACTTTGTAATGCACAGTTAACCAGTATTAAAAAAAATTAATAGTTGTTATTTAAATTCTATTTAGGTTGTATTTATCTTCTATTCTTGTCAAAGGTGAATATTTAAACCCTTGTAAAGCAAACACAAATGCGAAAATGCTACACACCTCAACATTTAAACCAAGAAAGAAAACTTCAGAAATTCATAATCATATGAAGTGGAAGGTGCAAAAAGGTTACAAAACTAAACATCTAAAAGAAAAAAAAAAACATTGCTGTTTGCCAACAGAAAGCCGAAATCGTCAGAGTAAACAATTATTTCACTTTCACATGAAATGATATCGTTTTAGGAATATATATGCCTGGGAAGCTCTCTAACCAATTTACTTAGCGATCTCTTTAGTCACCGGAGGAATATCAACAACTCCGGCACTGTTTTCACCGTTAACAGTTGGCTTCTTCTCCGGCAACTCTTTCTTCTCCTCAGGTATATCCTTAGGTCCCAAGAAACTTGGCTGATTCGTAGAAGACAACAGCCTTGCCCACATTCTATCCGTAATCACCACATTGTTCTGTTTCTCTGTTATCCTCTGCAAACAACAACCACAACATTCTATCAGGTTTATTACATTGCAACATCCATAACTTAAAAACGCATTTGATGTATGTCAGTGACTTACGTAGTAAGGAATGTATGTTTGTCTTCCATTGACAAGACCACTGGTGTAGCCTGTGTAACCAGCCATTGCTCCATGAACAGCGCTCTGAGCAAGAAGTGTACAGTAAACATTGTCTGAAGCATTGCTTGGAACAGCCCGGATCATGTATGTAGGATCTAAAAAGCAATAAATTCATTTAAAAGAAACGTCTCCCAAATAGTTGAAATATGGGTGAAAAGGGTTTATAAATTTTGTTACCTATGTATTTGAGATTCATCACCATATTAATCTTCTTAAAATGATCCTATCACCACCAGAGGGACAGCAAAAAAAAGTAAAAACACTATGATGAGGTTTCTGGAATGGTATAAGAGAAAGTTTTGAGTCTTTTTTTTGTTTTACCTTGATGCTTTGTGATAGCCACAAGCCGACATCTTTAAGAAGTTTATTACCAGACGCGTCAGTGCTAGATTCCATGCTTTTGGACATCAACTCTTGCCCTGCTCCTTCAGCAAGAACAATCACCATGTGACCATTCTCCTTCATCCTTTTCTCAATGAACTCCAAGAGTCCACCTTCTCCTTCCAGGTAAAATGGTGACTCCGGAATCAAACAGCAATCAACGTCTCTGCTAGCTAATGTAGCATACATCGCTATGAATCCTGTAGTTAAATCATCGAATAAGCCATTAATCAATGGCAGCTCGAAAGGCTTTTTTAACAGTAACGTACAAATCAAAAACACATGAAGAGAAAGAGAAGACATACCACTGTAACGACCCATAAGCTTGACAAAACCGATACCATTCTCATTACTCTCAGCTTCAACATGAGCTGCGTTGATGGCTCTCTGAGCCTCCTCCACAGCAGTATCAAACCCAAAGGATTTATCTATCACTGGAATATCGTTATCGATTGTTTTCGGGATTCCAACCACGGCAACTTTAAGTCCACGCCTTCTAATTTCCTACATTGTTTTATATAATCTAAGTTTTCAGCTATTCATTGTTAAGACTTGTAGTTGTATCAAAAATGGTGTTACCTCAAAAATAACAGAAGCTCCTCTCTGTGTTCCATCTCCGCCAATGATGTAAACCTGATTGATTCCTCGGTCTTGGATGCTATCAACAATCTTCGTGGTATCATGTCCACCTCGTGAGGTCCCGAGGATCGTTCCTCCACGTTTATGGATATCGTTCACAACTTTGGAGTTTAAGGGGATAGTATTCTTGGCATAGAATCCCCTGTATCCACCCTGTACAAAATGAAAATCATAAGAACAATAGTGGCCAAAAACTCAAAACTGTAAATGAAGAGATCCACAAAAACTTACATCGATTCCAAGAATTCTCTTTACTCCATACATGTATGATAAACTGCTCACTATTTCTCTAATCACGGTGTTGAGACCAGGACAGAGACCTCCACATGTAACGATGCAAGCGTGGACTTCGTCAGACTCAAAGTAGACCTTTTGGCGTGGACCAGCTCGTCTGAAATGGACTCCTCTTGGACCATCCTTGTGGACTACAACCTGAATAAAACCAAAAGAAAAAAAAAAAGAAACATAAACATCTAACACCATCTTTCAAACAATACGAAGAAGAAAAAAAGCATTAAGCTTACCTTCTCAGGAACACTATCATCCGCATCAACAAAGTACTGCCTGATAAAAACGAAGAAACCCAAAGTCAACAAAAACAAAACTTTCAACCGTTAAGACAATAACGGCAAATGTCTGAAGATAGTTGAAAGGTACTTACTTAACAACAGAGTAAGCTGGGTTGTCTTGTAATGGATTTGGGTAAGTCTGCAAAACAACATAAACCACGAAACAGATCAAAAACATTTTAACCCAAAAGCAAAAGATTCCTCCTTTGAGCCAGCAGATTCGATCCTTCAAAAAAATTCAAAATCAGATTACAAAACAATCAGAGATCAACTTACAGGAAGATCAGGAAGATAATCAACGAGATGAGGAACGTCCTGTAGTATATAACCACCAGGACCGGTGACGATCTTGGGCTTGTTACTTTTCGGACTAGACATAACGATATGATCAAATCAGACAGAAACTAGTTTGAAACGAAGAAGGAAAATGGGAGAGAGGTTGAATCAAAACAAGTCAATCCTATAAAAGAGAGCCCGTTTTTGAAGGAGTGGTAAGATAGTGAGAGACCCAATAAAGAGGAAGAACTTTTTTAGCTTTTTTTTTAGATGGGGAATTTGATCGAACAGGTGGTAGGCATCAACGATTTATACCTAAACTAACAAAATTTAAAAAAGATAGAATAATATATACATACACATTTATACATGTGTATGTATACGCACTTCGATACATGATTGTCGGGTATATATATGAAAATATAATGGTGGAAGAAATAAAATAAAAGAACGTTGAAACTTGGAGAAGATGATTCATATTATTCTAGAATCTTTTTAACTTTCCGTTCATAGGTTTGGCCTTGGTAAAGAAGTAATTTGTAATTATTATATTAAAATGAATTTTCTACTTGTTTATTTCGTCTTTTTTACTTCCGTTATTATATTTCACGATCTTGAAGAATATTTCGGTTTATCTCATAAAGAAAGAAAGACAAGTCCAATTTGTGTGTCGGTTAACTCTATTAGTCTGTTATATGTGTTTGTATATTTATTTAATAGTTTTGCTTAAATCTATTTTGTGGTTGCGAAGAGGAAACATGATTTAAGTATTTTCAAAGTGCAAGAGTTGACGAGAAGGCTATCTAAGTTCATAATGCTATCAGGTGACATACTTGCTTATTCGTTTTTATTATTAGAAAATATTTTTATATATTTCACTTTTGGAACAGCTCGCGTCGTGTTAGATGAAGTTATAAACGTGTCATCTTATGATTCATCGAATGTTCTGGACTCGACCAAAGCAGCCAATCATATCTGTTGATCGACGGTCAACGGAAACTGATGCAAGCTGTAAATGGACAACATAGACCGATGGTACTCCTGCATAGTCTCTACTTTAAAAAAAAAACGAAAAAATCTAATGGGCTACTGGGAACGGAGACATTAGCTAAAGGTTGGGTTTAGATAAGGCCCATTAATCAAATTCCAAATGCCCACTTGCCAAGTTCAGTCATAAGTTGAAACAAGCATAGGAATCGATGAAGTCATAATAGACTTTTGATAAGACACATTTAACAAAAGTCTGATTTAAAAAAAGCATATTGGAAGGGAGATATGAAAATAGTAATTTATTTGCTTCACGATTGCGAATTATTTATGTGTTTTAATACCAAACTAGATTTTGACCCGCGCAACCGCGCGGATGTTTATTTTCGGTTATAGTTAGTTAGGTTGTACGGGTGTTTGTTTCGTTTATAGTTAGTTATATAAACATTTTGTTTTCATTTGTAAATTGGTATATATTTTACTAATCACATATTTACGATATGTATAGTAAATGTTTTTCAAACATAATAATATTATATAATAAGTGTTTTAATCAAATAGATTGTTTCAAATTTTCTATAATATAAATATTTTTCAAATATGTGTTTGTTTCTTCTTCTATATTTTATTGTTTGTTAGATTAGTATTTTATTTTAAGATAAAGTAATATAAATAGCACTTGATTAAATATTAGTATACTTTAATTTACAAAGATAATATAAACTTCTAAGAATTTTGCTAAAAACTAAACTTATAGCTTCATAAATTAATATTATAAATAATTTTATTAAAAAAGAACTTTTTAAAAAAAATCTTTTTTTAAACAATATAATTTTAAAAATTTAAATCGAAATAATTTTTTCTCATATATATAGCGTGTAAATTTTGTTAGGGTATATAAATATTTCATATTACTAATATGTGATTTTTGTTAATATATTGTGGATGCTTTTAACAATTATTGACATATTTCCGTATAAATAATAGAAGATTCCTAAATTTATATATATTGACATATTTTGCGTGACTAAGTTGGAAGGTGTGGGGTAATTTACCAAAACTAAATTGTTAAGCGTATCTTTGTTATTATAGATATGATTTTTCATAAGATATAATAATGATAAGATTATTAGAGAGTTAATGTAACATAATTTTCTGGTAATAGTCCATTTTTTTAAAAAATCACACATGAAGCCAAGTCATGACTTCTGTTTTAATATATAAGATTAATAGATCAAATACCCTTATGATAAAATAATGCTCTTAGATAGCTAAACTAACATTTCATGGTCGTATGTCAGATCAGATTGCTAGCGGAATTTCTACTTCTTTTTCTTTTTCCCTTTCCGGAAAGAAGAATAAAATTTCGAAATAATCAGTTTCCCCTCAGAGAAGCCTAAAGAAAGAGAATAATATACATACATACACTCTCACTGTCACACATTTACATGTATATATGTATTGGGACAGCCTATACAGTATTCTCGTGTATGATGTCTACAAAGTGAAAGCAAAGGTGACATGAAGGATGGAAAAACGAACGTTGAAACCGCTGAGAACTAGTTTCATTAATTCTTTTGGCCAATAGTCAAATTTTAAAAGCAGAAGCTGAAAAAATTCTAAGTGTGATGGAAATGTTAAATTAAAATCGTGTACTGTCTGGTGGTTTAATTAATTTTCAGTCCTTTGATCATCAACTAAGACTTTTGAATATCTGGTAGATGGTCGATCAAGTGGTGACATATGGTTGATGTATATACTATTATTTACCACACACCACTGCATGCATAGCAATGTTATATTTAAATAAGTCTTTTCTGATAACATTTTCATACAATAACACCGAAGACATTATTTGAAACAGAGTACAATACAAAATTAGATACGAGAAACGGGAAACATAAATCAAAATCTATTAAAATGATGAGGAATAAATGTGTGTGTTCAGACAAGATTAAATTTATAAACGAAATTGTTGGCTCTTAAATTAATCTTGCTGAACTACAGCTAATAGATCCTTTTATTCTCGTCCCATACATAATTGTAGCGGAATTTTTTTCTTCTTTTTTTCTTTCTCTTTTACAAAGGGAAGCGAAATGTGAAACCTAATAATCATGAGATCAAATAAATCATAACCGTTATATATGTTGTTCAAACAAATCTGCGGATAGGCCCCATCTCCCGACATTATCATTGGACCCACATCAATGTAGGAAATCCAAAGAAGCCAAAACTAATTACCAGCTCCTATGTACAGTATATCAGATAACGTGACCAAAGTAAAAAGAAAAGATTCGTAAAACATGTGTTTGCCTTATAATCCAAAGAGATTATCCTTAAATGCTTTTTTCCTATGTTCTTTATCTGCATTCTTCAGATTATATAGTATTTTTTATATATAATATGCTGTTTTTGTTAATTAATCCGTAAATAAGCTCGAAAAGTTTGGCACGTCAAATGATTTAATCAATTAACTAATGAAAATGGCCTAAATCAAATTTAACGTAGACACGTAAAACTAGATGGAATCTCCGAATGTTCCCTATTCATCAAAATCTTCTTCGTTTTTAGTTTGCTACAGAAAATAAAAAATTGTACATCTCAATCACAATATTATGAGAAACAAGTATATTCTTTTGAGTACGATGGTAGATATTGTAGAAAATAGGGATTTTTTAAATAGAATATGGAAAACAATATTAAAAGATTAATCAGTTTATCAAATGGTAATATTATTCGCAATATCCTCACACTTATGTTTACGCAATAGCTACTGTACATATATATATGTACCGCTGTAGAATGTATATTTTTTTTTAAATACGTACACTTTACGTAATTAAGAAAATAAAATAAAAACAGAAAGAAAATACATAAATACGTTTGGTCAAGTCATCGAAGACTGGCAGACGACAAGACAGAGTAAAATTAGGGTTTAACCTTTTCAGTCTCAACTCCTTTTATTTCCTTTACTCTTCTTCTTCCTCTTTCTTCTTCCTTTCTTTATCTACTTGACATAGATTTTCCAGTACTTAAAGTCGTATCCACATGTGTTTCTGTGTCTCTTCTGGAACCAAAAAGAAATAGTTATAATAATTAAACTTTATTCAAATCACAAATATACACTTGCAATAAGTTGTTCATATATATAAAACCTGTATTATATATAATCTCTAGCTATATATATTGAGACCACTCCCGTCTTTATCAATTCTTCTTCCTCTTCCAACTTTAGTTCAGTCGATCCCATATAACTCGATCGGGTAATCTTGATACTTGTTTTCCACTTTTCTGGTTCATGCTTTCCTAAATATATATATTTAAATAAATTATACATGCTGATGAGATCAATCCCATCTAATCAGACATCTTTCTTTCAAATTTTAGTTTCAGTAGATCTCGTACAAATCTGGTGATCTGAATATCTATTTACTATTTTGTAACTGGTATGCGTTGAATATTTGTATATTTATTCTTCAAGCAATATATTGTGTCGAAGCTTTATTTTGATGAACTTGCAGATCATTCTATCGTACTGAACTAGATCAATCATCTTAGCTTTCGACCACAGAAATGAAGAACGCATGCAACCTCATAGATTCAAAGCTCGAAGAACATCATTATCTTTGCGGATCAAAGCATTGTCCTGGATGTGGCCGCATGATCCAAGCTGCTACTAAACCAGTAATATTCCTATTTCATAACACATATACTCATCAAAACAAGAAATATAAATAAAAGTTATTCTCTTTAACTTTTTATTTCTTTAAATGTGCTCTTAATCATTGATCCTCTTTCTTTTTCTCTTTTTTTTTCCTAGAATTGGTTTGGTTTGCCGGCGGGAGTGAAATTTGATCCGACGGATCAAGAGCTTGTTGAGCATTTAGAAGCAAAAGTGAAAGGAAAAGAAGAAAGTAAGAAATGGTTTCCGTCTCATCCACTCATAGATGAGTTCATCCCAACCATTGATGGAGAAGATGGGATCTGTTATACTCATCCACAGAAGCTTCCAGGTTCGGTTATCTCTTTTTGATACAACAATCGAGAAGTTTGATATGTTCAATCAGCAAAAGAAAAATGAATTGACTAGTATTTAAACAGTTTTGGAGGTAATATATTTGGTAATCCATATAGAGTTTAGTCCCTAGCCTTCTTCTTATTCTTTTTGTTGTTTTATTTTTCAACAGATACCTTTTATTTTTGTTTTTGTGAAGCCTTCATTTTCAATAAAACCATGAGTTTCCTTTTGTGAAGCCTTAATTTTCAATAAAACCATGAGTTTCTTTTTGAAATTAATTTTATTTATATATATATATATATGTAATATGTACATATCTTAGTCATTCTTACCTAATTATTGCTATGAAACTATGTGGATTTTTTTCACATAGCTCCTCCGTTTTCAATATAAGTGTATTTCTGATATTTTATTTAATCATCCAAATATGTAGATTATATATTTAGACTAAACAGTTTTTTTTTAAAATAAATTTTAGAACAAAACTAGTTGAAAAGGATAAGGATAAAAGTTCTTGTGAAAAAAAATCTACAGCGAACATGAGAACCAATATATCTGGTGTTATAAAAACTTATAACGGAAATGTATTCTGAAATAAAAGGATGTTATACATTTTAGATTATAAACAACATAGGTAATCCAATCTTTGATGAACCTGGTTGTTTCACTTTCTTTCATAACTTAGTTATCCATAATATTTTATATACTGCAAGGAATGTGCATGCAAGTAGCACTATTGAGTGTTTGGATAATGTTTGGTAACCTAACTTTTGGAAGGAAATTCCACATATTCTTCGTAAATAACTTGCTCCCTTACGATAATTCCCTAGAAATCCAATTGACGTCAATTTAATTATTTATTTTTTAAATTTTAGGCGTAACAAAAGATGGCTTAAGCAAACACTTCTTCCACAAACCATCAAGAGCTTACACAACCGGAACAAGAAAACGACGCAAAATCCTCCAAACGGATGACTCCGAGTTAACCGGATCGCCATCCGAGACGAGATGGCACAAAACCGGCAAAACAAGACCGGTTATGATAAACGGTCGACAAAGAGGGTGCAAGAAGATATTAGTACTTTACACAAACTTCGGCAAGAATCGACGACCAGAAAAAACAAACTGGGTGATGCATCAATATCATCTAGGGGTTAACGAAGAAGAAAGAGAAGGAGAGCTTGTAGTATCCAAGATATTTTATCAGACACAACCTAGACAATGTGTTGGTAATATTAATTGGTCGGAACATAATGTTAGTTCCAAAGACTTGATCGGTATTGGTGCCGGAGATGAAATATGCGGCGTTGCTGCCGCCTTACAGAGTCTTGGCTCCGGTGAAGTCGTTTCTAGGGTTCATACGAATCCCTTTATAAGAGCCTTCGGTGAGGTATACGATATAATCCTATATTTTGGTGCCTTAATGCGCAACTGTGAGAGTTTAACAAACATTTTGTGTGTGTGTGTGGTAATTAACATGTGTATGTAATTAAGGGGACAGCCGAAGCTTCAAAGGGAAGAGAAAACCGGCGAGTGTCTGGTACGTGCGAGGATGTACATGATGGGATCATACGACCATCATCATCAAAATCATCCCATCATATGATCCATGATCATAATCAACATCATCAAATCGGAAACATAAGAGAACTTCACATACCATCTTCGTCATCATATCAACATGAGTCAATCTTCAACATTACAAGTACTGTGCCATTTCAGGTAACGTTCCCGTAACTTTGAAATTTCCGGATAATGGAACCCAAAATTAAATTCCAAATATGTTTCGTATATATAACTAGACTTGTCAAAATGGGTCAGAAATAGTGGATCATCCAAAACCAATCCAATCCATGGATATTAGTGGATCAGAAATTTGGATGCTAATGGATAAATGGACTTAATGGGTTTATGGGTCTAATAAGTTGGATTGAAATGGTTTGGGCTAAAATGAGTAAATAGATAACTCAATCCAAACCATTTAGTGAAGCTTAATAAAAAAAAAAGTTTGTCGTCTTCGTCAAACGACGGATCCAAACTCATCGTTGTTCCTCTCATCACCACCGTAACCGTCATCATCACACCGTTGTTCCTCTCATCGTCATCATCACATCGTGAATCGATTCTTTTGATTGAGCTTTTATCTTTCGATTAGAGTTTGAATCCAAGTTTGAATCGATTCTTCCCAATATCTCCAGAGAGGCATCAAAATCTGAGGTGGGTTTCTCTTCCGTTTTATTAGTTCATGTCGATTAGAAGTTTCATATATGAGCTTTGTGATGAATCTGAGTTATGTTGTGTATATGGTATATAGGATGAGTCGCTGGTTGAGTTTGGTTCTATTTGTAGATGGTTCTATCACCTTTTCTTCACTTAAAAAAAGTATATGGTAGAATTTATGTCTGCAGGTTTCAGGTGAGATGGTATGATAAAATTAGGTTAAAGAGTGGTATGATGAACTGTTAGTTTATTGTTCAGTGTCCACATTGGTTAATCATCAAAAGCAGATTTACTTTAGCTAATTGTTTGGTGTTTAGTTGCGGTTACGTCTTTTGACACGGCAATGAGGAATGTTGTTTGGATCTATGTAAATTTGGACCTGGTAGCCTCTCTATGATTACTTAGTCTTATCTTACTTATGACAGAGTCTTTGTTACTCCTTGACATGACCCGGAATCGTATATCTGAAGCTTAGCTTTTGTTCTTGGTTGTCCATTAAGTTTCAGACTGTTTAAAGTTTTTTTTTGTTGTTTTTAGCTCATTTTGTGATAAACTCATATGTTGATTCAGGGCATGACTGCTCCTGTTCCAAGTCTATGGTCTAATTTACTCTTGTTTCAGTTTGTGTTACTGTATACTAATCTTGTTGTGAATAAGCTTAGTCGAGATTAATAAGTTCTTTTCAAATTTTATAATTTGTGACTAGATGGTATTTATATTCACAAATTTGTTGTAGATTCTAGGACTACAAGAAGAGATATGAAGCTCACTTGAATTCCTGCGCAGGGATTACATCGTTTTTGCACATTGGTCTAGATATTTTGTTTTGTGTTCATTGCATGTGAACAGAGTAGCTTGAGAAAATTGTGTATATGTGCAGTACTGTTAGAGAGTTTGAGAAAATGTTGATAAGAATGATAAATGATAGTTTGAAATTGTTTTTATATTTCTAATTTCGTTGAACGCATGGAATGATGGAATCAAGTTCGTTGATGCTTTTTTGGGAACTTGAAAAACATAAGTTTATATATGGTGTTGAATAGTAAGGTTGTTCTGCTCAAGTTAACGTTTTGGATGATCTTATCAGTTTAAAAGAAAAAAAAAATTGATATTATAGTGTTATACACGTAATACATCATATTAAAAGTTAACGTTTGGATGTTCTTATCAGTTTAACAAATCTAAAGCTAAAAGTTAATATATTATAGGTAGTTGCTTATTGGGTATTTAGTTGTGTGAAGTTAGTAGTGATTTTCTTTTCTATTTGATTGTAGCTTCCATTAGGATTAAAAAGTGACTTGCATTTGAGAATAGCACGTGGGAAAGATACATTGAACCAAAAAAATGAAGCTAGAATCGTGTTCATGTTCATGGAATCGTGTGTGGGGTTCGTTTGTTTTCTTTAGAACCACTTTGAGTTATAATGCAATACAAAAACTTTAGTATATCAAGATTTTTCTGTGTGTTCAGGTCAACTTGTTTCTTTCCTTCTCAACGAAGTGGAACACTGCTTGGTTTTTATATGCCTTTTTATTATTCAGAGTTATTTAACTGTTTAAGTATCTAAAACTGAAGTACAAATGTGTTGTAGATAATGGCGATGGTGAGATTGTTATTATTCGATCAAGTCCAAATGAAGGAGAAGAATCTGGAAGCAGTCAAAGAACCATCATCACAGATACACCCAAAGAGAATTCTCAGGCTTTTACCTTGAGGAACTAGAGATGCACAAAGACACTTGAGTTTTGGTATTGTATGTTAATTTTTTATATGTTCTTGTTTGCAGTGACTGGTTGTTTGCAGAGTAGAGTAGAGCTTGTTTATATTTCTCCACTTGAGTTAGATGGTACCAGTAGATATGGTACGTAGCTGATCTTCTATGTAGAGTAGAGCTTGTTTGCAGTGACTTGCAGTGATAGTGATAGCATTCTTACGTTGATTTAATTGTTTGGTTTACTTCAGTTTCTCATAAGTTTATTGTGTTATGTGTTGTAACATACTCTTGTTATCTTTGGTTTTGCAGGTTTATTTGGTTTACTCAGAGTTCCATTTGGTCCATTCCATTTTCTACAGATTTTATATTATAGCAATGGTTTAATAAAAATACTATGTTTTATTTTTATGTTTAGTAATTTTATCAGTTTTAATTTTTTACTTTTACATTTGCATAATCATATTTCAAACAATATTAATGATATTTATATTTGAAAACTTAAATGAGTTATTTATTTTATTTTTATGATTATTATATTTATTTTTATTGATTTATAATAATGATAATAATATATAATAGTGAATCAACTCATTAAAACCATTAATCCACTAATTTAAATGAGTTATGGATTTATCCAAACCATTAACTACATGGATTGGGTTTATCCATAATCCATAAGAGTAATGGTTCATATGGATATGGGTTGGTTTGAGTTGGTTTATCCAATTTGACATGTCTATATATAACGCTAACTTGCATGGCTATAAGTATAAGATCGTATAGTGTTTCTTGTCTTTTTTTTTGGGTAGACATGTTAATACGTTTTTCTTGTCTTCTTGAACATTTAATCATGACAAATTATTTAAATAAAAGCTAATGATTTTGGATCTACAGGCTCATGCAAAAAGTAAATCATGCAGTATATCACAAACTCAATATTGTTTATATGGTATAAAAGTAAATTATCTTGCAAAAGTAACACATAAAGTATACATGAGTAGTAAAATGTATATAATATATAGTATATAATAAAACCACCACAAACGTATGCGATCTTTAGATTTGCTATATTCTTATTGGTGAGATGTGAATAGTTTCTTTTTGTTACTATAAAGTAATGTTACTTATATCCTTTTTCCTTTTTTAATAATGACAGCAGCAGCAATTAAGGGGTCGATCATCTGGTTCGGGATTAGAAGACTTAATCATGGGTTGCACATCTACTTGCACAGAAGAGGTAAGTTTCTATACAAATATTTAAATAATTAAAATTGATGTATGTGATATAGGTTAACAAAGGTATTAATCTGCTATGCATATGGTGGTGAAATATTTGATTAAATTATTTATTATACATTGTAATGAGGTATTTGTCGTATAGCTTCTTTTAGGGGTGAACATATTATATATCCGTTCGAATTCAGTTGATCTATTTAGATTTCGGATTCAGTTGATCTATTTGAATTTCGAATGTTTAGAGTTCGAAATTTAAATCTTATTCGGAAAGTTATAAATTTTGGTTTGGATTTACTTTGAATTATTGTGGTTTTGGTTCGAGTTTGGATATCCATTTTAATAATGTATTATTAACAAAATTCTAAATATACTTAAGTACTCGAAATCTGAAAACAAAAACATTATAAAACATAAAATATGAATAATGTAATACTATATATTTAAATTTACATAAAGTTAGTTTAATTTAAATATTTAGATGGAGAACAAATAAATATTTTCAGCATTTTTTTTAGTTTTTAGATATTTACTTGTAATCATGTTGATAAATTTTAAATATTTTCATATTTTGAATACCTAATAGATATAAAATGTAAAATAAATAATAGATTTAAGTAAATATTGTGATTTAGATATTTTGGTATCCAAAATATGTTACTTTGGTTTATATTTGGGTCGGGTTATTTAGATAATAAATTCTTAGATCCATTTGAGTACTTAATTAGTTTTGATTTGTGTTTATTATTACTTTTAAATCTAGTTTGGTTTGGTTCTTCAGATCCATATATTTTACCTAAATTTACTTTCTTTTACTAATATAAAGTAAAATAAAATAAATATAAAACAAATATTTTGGACTTATTTAACATATATAATTAGTGGACTATGCTTTATACAATAACAATAAAAATAGTTGGGCGTAAAATGATATTATTTAATAGTTGTACGTAAAAAATTTCAATTCACTAAAACAAAAGTTAAAAACACGTTAATTAAAAATGAACTCATTAAAAATTAGCATGAACACATTAAACTATATGCGGTAGAAATTTAGAAAATAGTATATGAACATTTTAATTGTTAAATAATTGTGAGACTGACACGTTAGCATAATACTTGTGTTAGCATACTCATTAATGACAAATACTCTCTTTTAATATATTGAGGATAGACTATGGCTATGTGATCATTACAAAAATGTCATAAATGTGTAAACTTGCAGGAAAATTCAGAAGCAATTCCACAGCAAAGTGCAGACTGGTTAACGTTTCCATCCTTCTGGTAAAAGACCGTGTTAATTAAACCACTAATCATTAATCACATATCAATAGCCTTTTATTGAAAAATATGTGATAACTATAAACAATTGTTACATGAAAAATTAACCACTAGACTGGCCACAATTTCGCAGGAACCAAGCCGAATCAGATGGTCAAAACCAGAGATTTTAACCGAACCAGAAGGGAGCAGAACAATGGCCCTAGTTTTTGATCAATGCTGGAAATGCTATTAAGTTACGATGAATGCTGTTCGCTCAATGAAGACTGTAGCCTTTTATATTCCTCAACGACCTATACGCAATGACAATCTTTCAGAAAAAAAAAATTCTAGACTTTGTATTAAAGAATATAACACACAAGTAGAACATGTTTTTTTTTTGTTTTGTCGGATTTGGAATCTGTCTCATAGACTTTACCTTCCTTTGCGAAGGGTGCAGTAACACCCGCGGTCTTATCGAGCGGACATGTTCAAAAGCTTCAGCTACGGTCATACTCTTGTGTTCAATCTAAGAAACACATTCCTTAATGGACCAATATAAGCTAATTAAATCGATATGAGAATTAATCTATGGACTTACCAGGTAGCAGAGAACAACGGTGGTACTTCTTCCACGACCAGCTTTGCAATGGACGTAAGTGGTTTTACCGAGCAAAGTATTCTCTGTTACATGAAAGGGAATGCACAATAAGCAACAGACTAAAACTAAAATATCAAATGAGCACAACAGTTATTAACTCACTGTGAATGAAGTTTACAGCTCGGGTTATGTCTTCAATGGAAGGAGCAAAGAGGTAATCTCGTGTTGGTATCACAAGATGGTCCATTTCATAAGCCTAAAACCAAAATTTGGAATCATCAAAATACTCCACAAGTAGACACAAAAAGAGATTGAAAACATAAGGATTGGTGATTTATTTTACCAACATTGTACAAAGAAGATGGAACCAAAGTCTCAAAAGGTTCATTAAGAGTGATTACGCCACCAACGCCTAGTTTCTTTAGTCGCGGAACGTCCTTACGAAATGGTACCGCTCCCATTAGAAGAAACTGATTGGAAAAAAAAAGCTTTAGCAGTCTAGAGCATAAAGCTACTCAGACAGAAACAGTTATAACTATATATATGTCTGTTAGGCGAAAAAACCCACACTCAAAATGATAAAAAGACATGATCTTTAAAGCTAGACAGAGTCAAGATGAAGAAGCTGAGGAATATTAATGAGAAAAAAAGAAAAGGAAACCTCGTCGATTTGATCCCACCATCGAAACTGAGACTGGAGTTTGAAGCGGACGAGGTTGTACAGAAGAGTTGGGTAGAAAAGGATCCGACCACCCGCTCCGATTAGAGCTCTCTTTGTTTTATCTCCCTTGTTCTTATTCTTCTTTTGCTTTTTCGGAACGCCGTCGTTTTGAGATGATCGCTGCGTCTCGTCATCTTCCTCTGTTTCAACGATCATCGCCGGAAATCTGTAAAAGATTTGGAAGAGTGAGTTTGGTCAAAGTCAAACTCGAAATCATACTACTCCACGACGAATTGGTCATTTTACTAAATTGGGTCTAAAGGCCCATAAAAGGAGAAGACCCATTTCATTAATTAAGACATACCGACACGTGTCGTTCTCGTATATCTCTCTCAATATATATTTTGCGTAAATGCCACTGCCACACATACTTCGTAGTTTCGACGCTATCTCTAGAACATTCCGATTAACCACAGAAGAAGAAGCAGAGCCGAGGAAAGAGCAAGATGTCGTGGCAGACTTACGTTGACGATCACTTGATGTGCGATGTTGAAGGCAGCCGCCTCACCGCCGCCGCAATTCTCGGCCAAGACGGTAGCGTCTGGGCTCAGAGCGCAAATTTCCCCCAGGTTAGGGTTTGCTTCTTCACCCACAGCTCATTCTCATTACCTATTCGGGTTTGATTCTTTGAAACCTTTCGGTTTCTAGTTCGATTTGGTTTTCTGCTTCATATGTTTGTAAGACTCAGTAGAAAAAAGTTTGAGCTTTTTTAAGCAGAAAGTTTTTGACTTTGGAGATGGGGAAGCTCCTTGTGTTTGAGCTTGGTTTCCTGATTCACATGTTCATGGGTTGTTATAGAGTGAAGTGATCACTGATGTTTCTCTCACAGTTTTAGTATTGGCTTTGTTTTAGTTGAAGCCTGAGGAAATCACTGGCATCAACACCGATTTTAACGAGCCTGGAACGCTTGCCCCAACTGGATTGTTCATCGGTGGCACTAAGTACATGGTCATCCAAGGAGAGCCCAATGCTGTCATTCGTGGGAAGAAGGTAACTTTGACTTGTTTCCATCAGTCTTTTGTCTTTGTTTCTTTTCTCCCATAACAGTTGAGTTTATGAACCAATACTACTTTTGGTTTTACATTGTAGGGAGCTGGTGGTGTTACAATCAAGAAGACCACCCAAGCCTTGGTCTTTGGTATCTATGAAGAGCCAATGACTCCTGGTCAGTGCAATATGGTTGTGGAGAGGCTCGGTGACTACCTGATTGAATCAGGGCTCTGAAACCCCAAGCTGCTGCTACATATTCATGTTGTCTTTATATTGAGAGGAAAACTATTTATATGTCGAATGTGAGATCGATCATTTTAATAGTCCAACAACTGTGTAGTACCACCTCCTACTATGTGATGGATCTTGGGTTTGTATGATTCTAAAACAATATGGTATTGTCTTCGTTTGTGTTGAGTTGAAATTTTTAATGAATGGCAGTGTGGTACCAAATCTTGTTTGGTGTTTTATTAATGGTTTATAAGATAGATTCAGATCACAAGATCATTGAAAATCATTACAAGTTTTCAGATAAAATGTCTGTACAACAATTCTACTGCAGGAAGATAGACAAAATCTTAAATGGTAACAATTTCTAGACCAAACTGTCGATGAACAAATCTTACATTCTCTTACTATCGCTACAATTTTGGTAACACACAGACTCACTTATCTTACAGACACTGGGTTACAATGCCAGTGAATTCGTAGTTTGGAAACTGAACAACAAGGAGATCACGAGCCAGAGACTCAAGAACCATACTAGCGATTCGTTTCCATGTGAAATATTTGAAGCAGAGGAGGTCAATGCAGATGCATTCGTCGCCTTGGTGTTGTTCCTGTACAAGATTTCAACAACATCAGTAAGAATATGTTTATGCATTCTTTTTCAGTTTACAACGTTTCTCTTTAGTGACATACCCGCCTGCAGTTATGTATATGCATTTGTCATAACCTGCAACAACAATAGATCAGATTAAAGTTAAACCAAGACTGTTGATTTCGAAAGCTGGAGATTTTTTGTTTACTTACTAGGGTCTTTGTTGACCTTAACACCAACTCCTCCAAAGCTACAAGCAACATCCGTACCTCCATTCTGCTGAAAGTAACTATTAAACACAAAAGAAGCATGAGAAACCAAAGTATCCGGTTGAAAACAAGGCTGACTCGGTTGAATAGCCCTGCAATCAACGTTCCCAGGGCCACACGCCCAATCCAAAGCACCTCTCAGTTCTATCTCCGAAGCTTTAGAAGAAGCAATACACCAGCTCTCACTCCTCCCTCTCGAGTTCCCCCCACTCGAATTCGACCTTAACAACCCGCTGTTCTTTCCCGTGAAATCCAGCTGATAAACACTCGTCTGGTCAGGATAGAACAACCCCCAGTTCCTCTCCGAGTCCAAACCCGTTTTCCTGTTCTCGTTGAACAACGAGAAGATATAAACGTCCATGGCCTCTCCTGGCTTCGAAGGTGTGCCTTGGTTCGTAACCGTGTGGTGTATTATGTTAGTGTTATACTTCTCCGCGTTGTCAGGAGACGCAGCACCTTTCTCCTTTGGTGAGCCTTTGGTCGGCCAACCAGTCTCAGTGACCATGATTCTGATCGTCCTGAAGTTTAAAGCTGTCAACGCGTAATAAATCGCATCAACTTGAGCATCAAACATGTTCTTGTAGAGCAGACCAGTGTTGGGATCAATAACCTCAGAGGAAGACTCAAACAACACATAGTCCAAAGACACATTGTTAGGAGAATCTCTATAAGCATAGTAAGGGTAAAGATCGACCATGAAAGGAGACTGATTCTCTGCCAAGAACTCAAGCATTGGTCTCAAGAAATACGCGTAGCTACTATTGAACGCACCAGCGGAAGGAGGGAAGGATCTTGAGAGGACACCGAGGGAGAGAGTCGTGGAGACTTTGATTCTTCTGCTTAAACCGACTTTCTTGAGAGCGGTTAACACGTTCTGCATCGCCGGGACGACGAAGGAGGAAGCGTTGGTGGTGTGTGGGTCGTCGGTGGATTCGGCTCCGACTGTTATGTGAGTGATCTTGGTGGTTGGATAGTAGGGTAAGACGCTGTTCTTTAGCCACGTGTCTACGTTGGATTGGAACTGGGAGAAGGGTTTGAGGTCGGAATTTGGGACTCCGATCATGAGTTCGATGGTTGTGTTTGCGAAGGCTTTGAGGACTTGGGAGTTGTAGTCGTAGATTCTGACGTATTTGATGTTGTGTTGTTTTATTAGTTGGACTACTTTGGCTGGTGTGGGGAGATCGTCAGCGCTTCTTCCGTAACATACTCCGACCTTACCACCGTAGCAACAGTCTTGCAAAATAAAATAAAAAGACAGTCAAATTTTGTTTTTCGGACCAATTTTGTCAGTGTACCAAGAACTGCAATTGTAAAGCTCTAAAGTAGATTTAAAGACAGAATCAATTGTGTTTCTTTTCTGACCACATTTTTCAGTTACTGAAGTTGTGCATAAGCCCAATCTCTACAGTAGATTACAAGAAAATAGTGGAATCTACCGAAATTTTCTAATAGAATATGAATCGAGGTTGGATACTAATGAACATGTAGCAGAACAAAGTGTCATAAAGTTGATTGAAGTGGAGAATCTTTTGGTTCAATGGCTAAGTGAATAGTAGAGGGAGAGAGAGAGGCAAACCAAGAAGCAGAAGGAGAGAAATGGAGAAGATGAGCTTCCCCATTGATGAATAAATGCACTATCTTGCTTCCTTTCCCCAAAAGAAGGAAGCTTCTTCTTCTTCTTTTCTGCGAGCTTCTTCTATCTTTTGTGAATAAAGTTTAAAGCTTTCTCTCTCTCCGCCGAGAGAAGGAAACTAATAAGTCTTTTTTTTCTATATTGTTTTTTTCTTGTCAGAAGTTGAACTCTGGTCGGAAACAAACCGGGTCCCAGGCTGTATAATAAACTCGATTTGATAGATTTCTCTCGAATCCGCTTAGCTTTGAGAGTATTCCACAACTTTTCTTTCCCTCCCCATTATTTGTGTATTCGCAAAAACTACCCCTTTATAAAGTAAACCGACCCCATATGACCCAGAAAAAAAAAGATAACCGGTCCCATATAATTTATGTTTATACGCTCTCGAAAAAGAAGATAAATTCGATCATAAATATATGCTTATCTTACAGAAAAATATTCCATAAATGTAAGATTTATAACTAAGTTTTCTTTCGGTTCAAAAAAAGACAAATACATCAATTATTTCTACCAGCTATCCAACATACCGGTGGTAACCGATACAATATCTTAGGAAAATATTTCGAGCCGTCTTTATACTAATGAGCCGACTTAGGGCCCATTTAAATCTTATCTGACAGCCCATTGGATTGAATTATTTCGTATTTATTTATTAATATAATATTACTTTATTTTCCCGGCCTCACGCGTTCAAAATTATGTCCGTTACCACTAAGAATCGTCTTCTTCTCTCTCACTTTCTGTCTTTTTCTTAAAAGTTTGTTTATTTAGAAACCCTAAAGAGAGAGAGAGAGAGATTGATAATCCCAAGATCGCCCCGAAAACGATGAAGCTCAAATCGAACTTGAAGACTCTAAAGCTCTCCGTTCCAGCTCAACAAACCCCAATCTCTTCCTTCTTGTAAGTTCTTTCACGATTCTCAATCGAACACATCTTATTGTTTATCACTTCCTTCTCGAATCTATTGGATTCTTTAATAATCTGATTGCGAATAAAGATTAATTTGATTATTGAGCCATTTTCTTGGATTTGAATGAGTCCTGTCCTGCATCTGAGAAATCGATCGAATCTTCGATTGAATCAGTCTTGATCTCATAGTGTAAATTTATTTGGGGTTAATTTTGTGAATGCGTACAGGACTGCAAGTGGAACGTTTCACGATGGAGATTTTCTGCTTAACCAGAAGGGGCTAAAGCTGACGTCAGACGAGAAGCAATCGAGAGTAATCTCACTTATACCCTAATCCCTTTTAAGAAGAAGAAGCAATTAAGGGAAATTTGTTGTTGTGTGTGTCTTTGGTTTATAGCCTTCTGATAGCAAAGAGCTTGATTTCGAAATCACTGCTGAAGACTTAGAGACTGTGAGAGTCATCGGTAAAGGCAGTGGTGGAGTTGTACAATTGGTTCGTCACAAATGGGTTGGCAAACTGTTTGCTATGAAGGTATGTTTTTGATTCATTGATAAGTACTTGTTCTCTTCTTATTCAAGAGTTTATGAAACTTGTAATGTATGTGGCATCATCTTAGCCCTCAGGGATTCCTAACATAGGAAGTAGAAAATTTTTGATCTTTTGATGCTATGATATCAACTGGTTAGAAGGATTCACATGGAATTGTTTGTTTGGGGTTTGAGTTTATTCATTTTTATTTGGGTTACAGGTCATACAGATGAACATACAAGAAGAAATCCGAAAGCAAATTGTCCAGGAGCTCAAAATAAACCAAGCATCGTCTCAATGTCCACATGTTGTTGTCTGTTACCACTCTTTTTATCACAATGGAGCCTTTTCCCTTGTCCTTGAATACATGGACCGTGGATCTCTTGTTGATGTGATTAGACAAGTGAAGACTATTCTCGAGCCTTACCTTGCTGTTGTCTGTAAACAGGTCCACTGAAACTTCCTCTACTCTCTCCATCAATTGATTCAATTAGAAGAGTCTACTCATCTTAGTTATTTCCTCTTGTAAACAGGTTTTGCAGGGGCTTGTGTACCTGCACAACGAAAGACATGTCATACACAGAGACATCAAACCATCAAACCTTCTTGTGAACCATAAAGGAGAGGTGAAAATCTCTGATTTTGGTGTCAGTGCAAGTCTTGCTAGCTCCATGGGACAGAGAGACACCTTTGTTGGAACCTACAACTATATGTCGGTACGAAAACATTCCAAAGTCATTACATTTTGGAAACATTTACTATACAATTTTTTTTCATTGTCTAGTAGCTCAAGCTTGTTAACATACATGACCATGTCTCTTTTTTTTTTTCCACTTCTTCATTTCACAGCCTGAGAGGATCAGTGGAAGCACATACGACTACAGCAGCGACATATGGAGTTTGGGGATGTCAGTTTTAGAATGTGCCATAGGAAGATTCCCATACTTAGAATCTGAAGATCAGCAAAATCCGCCTAGCTTTTATGAGCTTTTGGCAGCAATTGTAGAGAGTCCACCACCAACTGCTCCTTGTGATCAGTTCTCACCTGAATTCTGCTCCTTTGTATCAGCCTGGTAAGTGGGTAACTCATTATATGCTTTTTCGTATACTTTGCAATATCGTAATTGGTTCAAATGGTTCTTCTTTACATTTCAAACAGCTTACAAAAGGATCCTCCAGCAAGAGCATCATCCTTGGACCTATTGGTAAGTAATTCTTACTCACCGACTCTCTTTTACTCTCTTGGTAACAACATTTAGAATCTTTGATGAAACATTCGTTTTTTTTTGTTAACGCTCTCAGAGTCATCCATTCATAAAAAAGTTTGAGGACATGGATATTGATCTCGGGATACTTGTTGGCGCTCTGGAACCACCTGTTAACTGCCTTAGATAAGCAAGTCCTCTTTTCTTTATCTGCATTTGGTATATGATAATGATAAGATACATGATATGTAATGTGTCTGAGTGTCTAGAAATATTATTTCATATTTACTACAATCTGGAAAAGTCCCATCTATTTTATGATTTTACTTCTGAGAATATCTTTGTTCTGAGTATCTTCATGAGATGCATAAAGAGTGAGCACCTTTTCAAACATTAATCAAAGACTGCTTTGTTTTCACAATATAAAGAAGATATGGAGATTCGGGGAATAACCCCCCCCCCCCAAACATCAAAAGAAGAGTCAGTGAAAAGAAAAGAAGAAGAAACCAGAGAAACTTGTCTGTCTTCTACAGACATACACCATTACATAAGAGTGTTTACTCGAAAACTAACTGACATGTCTCTGACACTCTGTTCGGTTGCTTTATCTGCATGAGCATGCCATGATGGTTGTCCCTACATCTTGTTGAAAATGAGGCCATCTTTAGACAAGTAGCGTTTGCTAGTATATACGCAGCCATTTTCCAATGCTGCACTGTGTCTTCATATTGTCTCCATTCAAAGATCTCTAGATGCTTCAATAAACTTTCCGGAACAACTGCTGGTTCGTTCCAAAAGTTATTCGGATCATTGCGAGGGGGACTATGATTCTGAGACCACCAAAAAAAGAAAAAAGAAAAACCATTGCGTGAGTTAGTGTTCGGCCTTTGTAGGAACTACCTACTAGTTTCATTCTTCTAACTAGTTTATGAAGAGCTTGTGGAGCAGTTTGGTAGCTCACAAGACTCACAAGTGTATCCATCGTTATAAATCTAATTAACATGCTATTAAAATAAACAAAAGTCAATTCTACATACCGACTTAAACTTGAGAGATTGGAGCCTTGGAGCGTTATTGAGTATAGAAGATTGGCCCATCCCGGAGAACATGTACATAGCTCTAGATGTTCCAGATAGGGAAAGACAGAGCCACCAGTATATAGAGTCTGCAAATAAAGTAGGTATATATACTGAGAATAACCAAGCATAGAAGAAACGTTCTTGACATTACTGGGGTAATAAATTAGGTTCTAACCTTTGAAGTTCGCGAACAGAGGGAAAGATGTTGGATTGAGGTAAGAGATCCAATGAACTTGTCAGATTGGACACAAGTAACCTTGATATTTGCTATGGTCACCTCGGGCATAATCTTAAGCATAAGATAGTTACTGACTGTATCCTTAATGTTCAAAGTCTCTGTGAGGGATAAAACTCACTTCTTAATTTAGGTTAGGTTAAGTTTAGGGAGAAGACAATCGTGGGCTAAATTCCTTAAGAACTTAGAGAATGAATTATGATTGTATTGATTTTGATAATAAGAAGGGTTTACAAAGATGATCTGATGATCTAATCGAAAGAACAATGATCAATAAAGATGGTAACAATGAAAATGTATCTAGGTTTTTAGGTGTCGAATAAGTTCCAGATCCCCCTTTTTTTTGATCTCCTCTCCTTCTTTAAATAGCTCTAGGTCAAGTTCAGTTTCTCCCGGCGAAGCCTCCGAGATTACCTCCGCAAGTTGTGGGATCTTCAACAACCTCCTTTTGACTAGGCCTCGCACGTTCTCCTTAAGCTGTTTCCTATTGGCTGTTTATAAATGAGGTCCCCAATCTTCCTCCGTGACCTGTTTCCCATCCGACAAACATGTGGCGATTTCACTTGATTCTCTTTTGGGGGATAAATAGGCTTATAACGGCGCGTTAATGGCTTCAATTATTCGAGCCCATTAGTTCAGCTAAAGGGCTAAATTCGGGCCCAACAGTTGCCCCCAGCTTTCGAGATGAGACCTCTTTTCTCGGAAGGTACAGCATATCCGCCTGAATTCTTATTCCTCGAGATAATGATTACTTCGTAATATACTCGAAGATTCGCGTGACCTTTATTCAACGGTCCAGATTTCATTTGGTCGAATCAACGATAAGGATTAATATATTTTGAATAACATTAATCCCGATTTTCGAGGCCGGACGTGATATAAAGCTGCAGTTATTAACTGCGCTGTTTCTCCACCACCCCACGTCTCGATTTGATTCCCCAGGTAACTGTTCACTTTCTTCTTTAATTTACTGCGGTTATATTTGTTCCCGTTAATACTTCTAGGAATTCATAGTTTGAAAAATTTTTCATCCGAACCTTTCTTCGATTTCTTTGCATTTTTCTACTTTCCTCTGTCTATTATCATGACGAAAGATAAGGAAGGTACCGGAGAAACTGAACTCCCTGCCTCCGGTGCTCAGCTTATGAAGGTCAAACTGGAAATCGGTGAGAAGATGGAAAAAGGGCGAGCCGAACAAGAAGGGTAGGGACTCAATTGCTCTACGAGTTTCCAAGAGAACGAAGAAAAACGACGGCTCAGGTGGGAACACCTTCTTCGGATCTCACGTGCCTTCTTTGCTGAAGAGCCAGGAAGTTGTTAACCTGATGGTTCAGGCCGTAGGCCAGAAGGATTTAGCCAAGGCCTGTAAACCCGACGAAACTCCGGAGACTGCTCTGGAGGGATGGTTCTGCGTTCACGAGAAGTACATCACCAAATGTCATCTCAGATTCCCGCTTCCAGATCTCCTATTGGATCTTCTCGATCATTACCAGTTAACTCTTTCCCAGCTATGTCCCTCGGTTATTCGGGTGATTAATGGTTTTATCACCAGAGCTAAGGAAGAGGGGGTTGCCGTTGGTCTCCGCGACCTAATGAGCCTCTATACAATCAAGGAGAGTGCCTCAAAAGATGGTGGTAGCGGCACCTACTATTTACCTTGCCGACCCAAGCTGGGCCTCTTTAAGTTTTCCGGCAGTGATGATGACTGGAGGAAGAAATATTTTTATGTTAAGATTGACCCTTTGACGGTTCCTGTGGGTCGTACCCTAAGGGTTTCTTGGTCCGATGCTTCCGGTTAGGGTCTTCTAGAGATGTATTTGTGTGTTTTGCTTCCTTTCCACACATTTCATTAACCGTTGATTCTTTTTGGCAGATATTGAAGAACCTGACAAGCTTACTAACAAGCTTACTAGAGCTTTGTATCGTAAGCTGAAGCAGAGCCCTTGTACGTGGGGAGCCTTTACCACCTCACGCATAGGAGCAGCCAGGTTTCCTGAACGATACGGAGCCTCATTTCTGGATCCTATCCCAGCTGCAGGTTTAGAAAGTAAGTCGGCTCTATCTTTCTTTCCAAACGTAATGGCTATACATTCAGAACTATTTGGTTTCGAACAATTTTTTTTTTTTTTTTATTCAGTTTCCGAAGGTAACTCGATCGTGTCTATTTCGACGGAAGCTAGTACCTCCGAGACCGAGAAAACCCAACAAGCTAAGATGCCTCTTCAACCGTCTTACCGCTCACGTGGCATAGCAGTTAAAGCTGCCAGTTCCTCTCGAGGGAGTGAGAAGAACCAAGGGGGATCTTTTCTCAATCAGGTGCGAGATGTTCTCGATGATGGAGCTTCTCTTGTGATCAAAGATACCGCTGCTGTTGATGCCTCAAAGGCTCAGGAGGTTGCCCCCAAACCCGATGCTCAGACCAAGGAAACCGACCTTCAAGTGATCAAGGAGCCTTCTGAGATCGAGCCTCCCAGACCTAAGAGGTCTCGGGTTGACCAAGTGGATAGATCGTCCAGGTCTTCCTCCTCTTCTTCGAGGGGAGGAACCGTGGGATGGAGTTTTACCCACTCGAAACCTGGCTCTGTCTTGGAAGATCCTTGGGGTTTGGCCACTTTGATGAGGCACATGAGGAGGACCGGTTGTTCTCTTCCTGCTATTAACAACAAGACTAACCGAGAGGAGTACGTGGAAGTCGCTCATTGCATGGGTCAGGTGAGAGACCTCAAAACTTATTTTGTCTGTTTCTTTTAGTGAAACTGTCGATCGACGACTGGTTTGTTTCATTTTCAGCTAGCTGGGGCTATCAATCGAGTCCAATTGAGCTTGGAGGATACGATCAATAATGCTCCCCGAGCAGGGGAATTAGCTCAGGTGACTGAAATGGTGAAGGCTACTAAAGAGGAGCTCGATCAATCTCGAGCTAGGATAGCTGAGCTCGAGAGTGTGGTAGAAAGGCTCGGCTCGAAGGCCGATATTCAGACCGGGAAGATCGAGAGTCAAGTTATTGATCTCCAAGTAAAGGGAAGGAGGATAGCCGAGCTGGAGGCTGCTAAGAGAGTTGCCGAGCAGCATGTTCGAGAGCTGGTTACTTCGGCGCAGATCAGTTAGAAGAATAAGGAGGCTGAGGTGAAGCTAGCTATCCGTCAAGGGAAGAAAGAGGTAGCTGAAGCTTACAACAAGATCTTGGCTTCCGTTAAGGAGAAGTTTGCTAAGAAGAAGGAAGAGGTTAGCCTTCAGATTTATGCTCAGGAGCTTCAAGCCAATACCGCCCTTCTTGAGGAAATGTTGGCAAATGAGATCAAGAGTGTCGATGAGGAGTATCAGCGATTGATGTCACTAATTCCCGAGGCCACCGCTGCGTACGAGAGGGCTCAGGTGTCAGATTTTTCAGTAAGCAAGTTACCTTTGCCTCAGTTCTCGGAAAGCTCAGGTACTTTTGAGATCAACACTTTTAATCTGTCATTTTCCGGAGGATATGGTTCTAATTTAGGTCTGGTGAATATGGCTTCAGCTCCAGTTGAGATAGCCGTAGGTGATAGCGAGAAAGAAGCAGGTGATGGATCTTTGGCTAAGGAGCCGGTTGCAAGTGAGGAGGAAAAAGATGAAGGGAAGGATGCTGATGACATGGAAGTCTAGACGTCATCCTCTTTTTCTTTTTCAAGTTATGTTTTTATGTTTTCCCAGACTTTTCGCCGGTTAGGCTTTCTTCCTTTGTTTAAGACTTATGACCTGAGGAGGTCTTTAAACCTTTGTTGCGTTTAGGACCTTTGAATTTAAATAGCCTGGGGAGGCTTTTAAACCTTTATCTTATTCTGGTTTTTTCTCTAAGTCATTTGACTAGTGATCATTTTCGTTTCTTATTTCAATGAATCCCTTAGTACAAATTCGAGTTTCTGAGTATGAGTTTTCAATCCTTCGAACGAAAAATTCTAGAACAGGTTAAGTCACCCTTCTATACGAGGCCTCGAGTTTAGGTTCTTGAGACCTGAATTTATTCGGGATTAGCCATGTTTCGAGCTAATGATGTTTGAAACTTTCGGTTGGATTCCTAAAGGATCTGAGTTTGTTCGTCTCACGTATCGAGACCTTGGATTCTGTTAAGGATTTTAGGACTTTAGATTCAGGTTCGACGTGACCTGAAGCAGGGTATTGATACCTTAGGTCCGGGTTTGCCGGGACCTGTTTTTAGATAGTAGGATTTTAAGACCTTAGGCTCAGGTCAAGCGCGACCTGGATTCAGATAGTAGGGTTTTAAGACCTTAGATTCAGGTCCGGCGTGACCTGAATTTAGATAGTAGAATTTTAAGACCTTAGGTCCGGGTTTGCCGGGACCTGTTTTAGATAGTAGGATTTTAAAACCTTAGGCTCAGGTCCAGCGTGACCTGAATTTAGATAGTAGGATTTTAAGACCTTAGGTCCGGGTTTGCTGGGACCTGTTTTCAGATAGTAAAAACGTGAGATGCTCGAATGTGGATGTTTTTATTATAACTTCAATGGAGTACATAGTCATAAAGTT